ACCGATGTGATTCTGCAATCTGTATTTGGGGTAAAAACGGGAGTTCATAACCCACTTGAATCTAATGTATGAAATATGATATGTCAAGAGCTTTGTAATGTTTTGAACAACCAATGAAAAAAAATTAAAAAAAAAGAAATTGACTTAGTCAAAGCAAACAGATAAAAGACAAGTCTTTAAATGACAGACACTGTGGCTCTTCTATGTCAGATACAGTGTATGAAAGCACTTATTGATAATCTTGCCAGTAAACTTACATAAATTCTCATTTCATAAACTTTTATATAATACTTAGACAAAGCTTATACAGATATAGTCCTCAGATGCATATGTATACTTAGTCACATATATCTGGGGTATCAACTATATTGTTATAACCTGAATAACAGTTGTTTGTTTAACCAGGTACAAAGTAATCATTTAAGACTTAAAAACATGTGCAAATCCTAATTCCTTTAAGACTTAGTTTCCCCAAGTAATAAAACCTAACAAATACAAGAAAATTATTTTGATAAGAGAATACCAATGTTTCAGACTTTGCTTCATATCAGTACTTTCAATTTCAAATAACTTTAACTGACTGTGCTAATTATAGCCAATTTTATCACAAACACAAACTTTTTCAGATTTACCTTCTGCAAACCTTCTGTGACTTCCTTAAACAGTTACAACTTCTTTACATCCTTAGTTCTGTCCCCTTTCATCTTGGGCTCTAGCAGAAGAATATTACTTCACCAGACAAAAATGTTTTCTCATCTTGAAACATTTCTTTTACCTTCTAATTTTCTGTACTAAAATATTTCCAAACCTATAACTTTCTTTTATCTCTTTTTAGTTTCAGACCTTTTTCTTAAATTCATATTTTCAAACAACCTTATGAATGTTATCTGTGTTTGTATTTACACAACAAATTTCATTCCTGAAGAAGGATCAGACAATCTAGCATATACAAAAACTGTGTCTTTTCTCTCCCAGGTGACATTCAAGGGGTTGGAGCACAAGATATTTTTGAGCCTGGTCTGTCTTCCTTATCATTATCAAGATGCCATCAACTTTAAGTGAGGTCAGCACTGTCATTTGTACCCAGAATCTGCTTTTGAACCTTTTTCTCATACTAGGCATATTGATATGCAATGGAGGAGGCCCTTTCCATTCTTTTCTTTAGGCTTCCTTGAAGATCCTTTTGTAGAGGCTGCCTACAGAACACATGTTGGCCTCAGTCTTTTTCTGCTCTGGGTATAGTTGTTTACCTTGCCAGTTTCTCCACATATTTAATTATCTGATAGGATACTGTTATAGCAAGAACTTCTTTGCTCCAGTGATGGATGTCCCCTGGCCAAATGAGGTGTCCTGTCAGATCTTAAAAAGGGGAGACTATACCTGTCCCCTCATCATAAACTAACAGTGCTGAAACCTACTGCTACATTCTTTGTGGCCAGCAGCTTCCACTTTCATGGGCAGAAGGGGCTGGAAGGCAGGGTAAAGGCCAGGTTCCCTTTGGCCATATTTCTATAGCCCAGGCAGCTTTTTGGGGATTTTTTTCCCCCCAGTTTAGGGCTAGTGTCCTTGACCACAGTGAGATGATCTGTGGCTGCCCGGGGCCAGGCTGAAAAACAGATCTGGGAGTGCCAGCACGGGGTTTAAAAGATTTAAATCTTTTTGACCCCTGATATCCTTGCATTGCCTTTTGGCACCTTCAACTTAGTTCTTGACAGTTCAGACTCCTTATGCAACTACATAATTGCCTGTACATACAGAATCTATTTCATATCCTTTAACCCTGACAGAAACCTTCAATGTCAAGATTGTGTAATAATCCAGAAAAACCTTTCAAAGGCTAGATTGTGTTATAGTAAATCGTTTTAGGCTTATACCTATAGGTTGCTCATTCAGCCAAGATCTATTTGCTCAGGAGACCACTGGGCCAGTAACAGATACAAAAAAACCAAAACAGATAAGAGAGGATCATCAACCAGGACTGACAGATGGGAACCTTTAAAATAGACCTGTGTGTATAGATTTCTTCCACTTACTTTCCCTTTCTTTGACAGATCAATTCTAACTGCAAGATTGTATACTAATCCAGAAAGCTATTTGAAAGCCAGATAGTTGGAGTAAAACTTTATATTAGATAGGCTTATACCTATAAGTGGCCCTTCAACTTTACCTCTGACAGACCAACTTCAATTGAAAGACTGTACAAAAAAGAAACAGACACTACCAAAGAGCCCCAAAACCATGGCCAACAGACAGGAACATTTAAGTTCCAGCCAAGATCTTTCTCAAGAGACTACCTATAGGATTAGTGCATTATTGGCCATGTCTTAAAAGGGGCAGTAACAGATATAGGCAAAAACACAAGACAACAAGTTCTCAAACTCAAGGCCAACAGTCTAGAACCTACAACAGATCAGAAGGGAGTAAGTATCCTGAGGTTCTTGAGTCCCACTTAACCATGACTTCCACATGAGTGGTACCACACTTCCCCATAAAAAGGGACCAGATGTGTGGAATCAAGGGTCTTGGCTTGCACACTGGGTGACTTATCAAATGGCCAACGGTGTCACAACTTTACTGAATTCAGTTTCCTTTTTCTCAGTGTAGACCATGATGGAGCAACCTTTACCATTCAGGGAGAGAAGGCAGGAGTTCCCCAAAGCAAAAGGAGCTTTGGCAGCTGCTAGGATGGTCCTTCAGTCCCTCCCTTTACTCACAGGAATAGTACCTCTGGTTCAGAAGTAAACTTATCTATCTCCTAACTCTCCTACTGTTGGCTCTTAACAAGTTTGTCAGCACCTTGCATCCTTAGCATGGAATTGGGGTTCTTTGGAGAGCTAGTCTGCCCAAGAAAGTTGGAACAGGGGCTGCTCTTGTGTTCCAATTGGGGTACCAAACTTTTTGCAGTAAGTTCAGTCCTTGTTCTCGATGCCAATCCAATAAGGAGAACATGGTTTTGAGAAAAAGGAAAAAAGTTGTATTGCTTGCTAGCAAAGGAGAAACACAGGGGACTCCTGTCCTAGAAGCTGTGATTCTTGCAGAATAGAATTTCAAGGCACATAAGATAGAGGCACAGATTTATTCAGAAAAGCAAGGAATATGTATTCAAGGGAGAAAAGTACAGAATACCTCAAGATTGAGACAGACATACTTTTGTGGTCTAGGGCTCTTTTTTTAAAGGAGATTTTGTGAGCAGTGGTCATGGAAATGTGGGTGGGGTATCAGTCTGGTGATCACAGGACAGCTTTTGTTGTGATGGCTGATCTCAGGATCTTTAGGTGGATGTCATTCATCTCTATTACCTGATCAATAAGATAACAATTGGAATATTCCCTATTAGGTTTCTGAAAACATCTCCCTTTACTTATTCTATTCTGAAAACATATGTTTGTGTATAGTACAGGACAATTTTTGTAAATAAGTGACTCTGCAGTAACTTTAAGATCCCAGAAACTTAGAAATGACTGGCCTGGGAACAAAACTTACTTGAGCACAAAAGGTATGAGGAACTTTAGCATGTGGCTTTCAGTTTAAAGCTATAGTCTCTTTTTCCTTTGTTTCCTTTATACCTTATATTTCTTCTTAGAATTTGGGAACCCTGTGGTTTTCATTAGCTGTGCCTTTGAGCATGCTTATGGAAAAAAAGTGGAAAAAAGAAGGGGGACAATTAGGCTAGATCAGCTCAAAGAATTCTGGTCAGCAGGGATGCTATATGTCAAGACTATAGTAGTTGTTTCCAGGAAGGGACTTGGTAAACAAATTGCCTGTGTTTTGAACATCATGCTGTTAGCAGCAGGGTCAGAGATAGAACATGTATGATGAAACTAAGAAGAGCCAGCTGTTATCTATCCCTTACTATATGCTGCTGCTCTACGTGCTTTACATGGTTGACAGACCCTTTACAACTATGTAGTACTTCATCTCTGTTCTGTAGACAATGAAAGTGAGGCAAAGATTAACTAAGATTAGTAATTTAGGCTACCGGGCAGTGGAATAGCTGGTATTGAAATCTAGACAATTTGAATTCAATCTGACCTCTCAAACAATGTTCTATGTTATTGCCTCACATTTTAAGAGGATCATGAAGTCAAGGGTCTCCAGGATTTGTTCTGTAGTTCTGGTTAAATTGAGGTATTTGTTTATTTTTCTGGATACTCTTTAAATTATGATGCAAGGATTCTTTTTTGTCTGTGTTTTAATCTGTATGCCTAGGTGTGATATGATGATGTTCCAAATAATCTACTCCAACAGTGGCTGGAATAGCAACCAAAGAGAAATTTACATCAGTTCCTATTGTGTGATCTTGAGCAAGTCACAAAAATGTTCTGAATTTAAGCTTTAGAAGCAGAAAAGGATAACACCATGTATACCATAAGACTGGACAATTAAATGAGGATTTTCTGACCACTAACTAGATGTGTTCTATTTAGGTGTCCTTGTTCAGGTAAGTGGACAATTTATGTGTGGCATTTGCAAGAGTAATTTTGACCATAGGATTTTTCTTTACTGCTGACATTAAACTCTTTGGTTAGAAGCAAAAGCATAGAAGCCCCTAAATGACTGTATGCCAAGTGTCTTGAGATGATTGATCTCTTTGGGTTATTTTTATAGTCATGCTTAGAGTAACACTCATCTAACTAACTAAGGAGATGGGTCTGGTGACTGCCCATATCAAGCATGTATTTCTTTGCTAATAAAAGCTATGATTAAGACGGAAGAGCAATGGAAAGCAAAAGAGTTCCAGAAGGACCTATTCAGCTGACCATTCAGCAGATATTTTGTTTTCATTTTCACAAAGTGACAACCAAAAAAAATTTCTGAAGGCAACTGAATTATCTAAAATATTAAACATTTTTTATTTAAATAAATATTTTTCAGTTTCTTTCAATTGAAATATTAAAATAGATAGAACTGCATTAATATATAGAAGTAGACTGCTTTAAATATTGTAACCTGTATACTAAAATCCAAGGAAGAGAAGTATAGAAAAAAGTACAAGGGAATTATGAGTAATGAATTATTTTAAAGTTTATTGGATTATTTTCATTACAGTTGTGGCACTGACATTTTTTTTTAAAAAAGATTTAAATTTTATGTAAAGATTGAACTTCAATAAAATAACTTAAAAAACATATACATGTATAGCACTAAATCTCCATAAAATATACAATACTTTTGATACAACATAGGTTAGGATGATTTAAGGAAATAATACATATTCATAATTTTTCATCGATATCCCATGTCACATGTGAGAATAAATATATTGAATTTGCCAAGACATATGAAGTAACACTATGTAACATGCACTCAAATTAAAATATACAGTTTGAAATACATACATTTTTAAAAGCATAAAACTGTTTTTATCTAGATGTACATTAGAGCTTCTAAAGAGAAATCTGAACATTTATTACAAATAAAAGATACTATAACATCATGTGAGATACAGTCCAAAAGCTGCTAGGAAACAATTTCGACATGTAGAACATAAATTTCTACTTTGGCCAGAGTTAAAGTCTGATCTTTTTTGATCTTTAAATGAAATGGAATAATGTTAAATTTACTAACGTCTTAAAACTGCACAAAGTACTGTTGTGATTTTAAGTACTAGTTAGCTGCACAGTCCATTTCTTTTTCTCATTTATATTGATATGACAAAATCAAACACATGAACTGTCTAAAACAAAAATGTGACTTCCTTTTAAATGAAGGTATTTGAAATTCTGTAGACCAAATTATTCAAGTACAACAGACTGTATTTTATACACACAAAAGATTTATAGGAATTATGTTGTTTTACACTCACAAGCAAGTTATGAGGATAAAATACCTTTTCATGTACTTTCGAATATCAACACTTGGCATACAAAAATTTCCTTCTCTAAAGAGAGATGATATACAAGAAAGAGTTGTTAGCAGTTAGCTGTTTGGCATTTTTAAATGATTGCTGTTTCTAGACAATAGCAGCAGTATTGCTCACCTAGAAGAAATGAATGTACCAACAGTTTATATACTGCTACAATCTGAACCACTTCATCAAATTAGCTTAACATTACTATACATGAGGCTAAAAAATTTATAGAAAGTGACAGAATAAAGGACATTAAAATTAATCCAGAGAATAATTATGATTCTTTTTTATAGGTAGCATCTATGTCAGCTGTAAATTTTACCCATAATTTAATAGTTTGCTATAAAACATACACTATAAATTCTCTTTTCTTAGCCTGGTTATGTTTAATTATTTTATTACTAATAAGTGAAAAGGTCTGAATTTATAATTGAAAATTTACCACACCAGAATAAAAGTCAGGTATTTAGTATAATTTGCTATAACTTTGAAAATAGTAAAATTTGATAACATAATAATACTTAATTATTGTGCTGATAAAAATCAAATCACAACAATCCTGCAAACTCCCCACTGTAGTAGTGAACTATATTAGTGTAATTAAGATGTGAGATTTTTAAGATTACATATGGATAGTATTTTCTAAAATATCATACTCTCCCCCTAGCCCCTGGGTCTGTGATTATAATACATTTTAATTTTTATTGAAAACCAAAAGGGTAAAGTTGCCAACTTGTGTTTTTCCTAACAGATACTGAAGTTATAGTAAGAAATTTATAAATTTTTTGCTTGAACTAATTTCTCATTTTAGTGTGAATAATGTACAAAGTAATATTTAGATATGTACTAAAATCTAGTTCAGTAGTAAAATTAAGTTATGAAAAGACTTTAGAGGTATTCTCAGACAATTTTCTATTAAGGAACTTACTAATGCTTAGGCTGGGAACAAAAGCACAAATGGAAATTTTTTTTTCCATCTATAAATATATATATTAAAAACAATCATGTTTTAAATCATTGACTAAGTTAGGTGCAATAATCAAAATTAATAGGTATGTTTACCTTGAAGAAAGATATTAATATCTTTTTTGATATCACATTCAGGCCTATATATGGACAAAAATATTTTAAATTTTAATGCAGAACAGCTCTCTACCTAGCCTCATCAGTGATTATGACCTTCTTCATTATATTTTCCTAAACCATCACATACCTCTGTTGAATTTGCAGCATATTAGGAGGATTACTATAAATAATTTCAATTGAAACCATGATGCTTAATCTGTGATTTAATAGGTAGGTCAAATAACATTATGTAAATTGTCCTACAAAATATATATTTGATTATATTTCAAATGGGATGCTTTCAAGTTGATAGTGGTAGCCAAAGGCACTGAAAACTTAAAAGGTGATAATATTAAAAAAACTTGCAAAATTCATATATTTTAATTTTAATGTATTATAAATGTTCACCAAATCTAAAATACCCTAACTGTGTAAGATTCCTTTTCAAGGAGTTATTATTTTTTTAAAAAGTTATAAATAATTCTTATACTATATCTCTCTGTCTTCAAAGATATGGAATATTATTATCATTACATAAATAACAAATAGTCCTTTAAAGGAGGAGCTGAAGGAAACTGGACAGGAGAACTGTGGCTGATTTTCCCTGGTATTATGTCATTTATGGATATAAAGTTGAAAACATCATTTTCATTTCAGGGAGAACAGGCCATGGTAAGAAAAAGCAAGAGTCTAGTTGCTTCTTTAATAAAGTTACTGTGCATCAGCCCAGCTGAGTATAAGTTTATAATTAAGGCTATATATGCAATAAGAGAAGAACTGAGGCAATATTGAACAAATCTGAAAAATAAAATTTTAAAGAGAAAACTTTACTGTTTTTCTCCCCATAATATTGATTGTATCACATAGTAGCTTATTTTCACTTTACCTGTATAATATTTTACACAGATAAGACATTTCTTATTATCCCATGTTAATAAAATAATACATTTCCCTATTAAATTATCTGCTTTTCTGGGGAAAAATCAATATTGATATTCCCTTAGAAATCAATCGCTAAAGCTCCTAATTCAAGGAAACACTGTTCTCTAAAAATCATGTTTTTTTAATAATATGAAAGGACCAAATGGAGAAAATTTTCTTGTTGAAGGATTTTTAGGGCATCAAAGTAACTGCTTAAGTACTTCTGGTGACTTAGAGTGAACTTCCTTGTCTAAATTCTCAGTTTGACAATTGTCATGGCAACTGAAGACTGAATTTATCAAAAGCCAGCTTTTCACTTAAGATATAGTACCTTATTAAATGTACTATTACAATGCATCAAACTGATGGCATTCCTAACTGGCCACAGAAGATTCATTCATGTTTTTAAGTGAAATCAGCAAGTGATTTTGTAAGCAAGTAATTTTGTATGTATTAAATATTTATTGATGGAAGGGTAAGAATTTAGAGTTCAGTGATGAATGAACACAGAAACTAATGAACACTTTGAAAAGACATTATAGAAATGCAGTAGTCAACATTTCAACATGTGATATATTAGAACCATTAATTTGTTCCAATAAAAAAAAATCTCAATTTTTAGACAAGAAGGAAAATCAAACCAAGCATTAACAAACACACACACATCTCCACACATACACTCACATAGAGCCAAATCTATATATCTTGGTATTTTTGGAAAATTGTCCGAAAAAATGTGAAAAGATGGCAAAATAAAAACTAGTTTATGGAGTTAAGAAAAAGACAATTACAATTAAATGTGATAATTAACTTAGGAAGAGTTAATAAAAAGTTAAAAAAATAAGTCCCATGATTTTAATTAAAGAAACATCAATAACAGCAGGACTATTTCTGCCACTGATTTCCTTCCTCTCATTTCAGAAATTACTGGATTAAAAGAAAGGGAAAAATAGTCTGCTAGCAGCTATTTATATAACACCAATGAAGGCACAAAAGAGTGGATTCAGAACCAATGAGTGAAGATGTGAGTTTGGCATGAACAAAAACTGACCCTGAAATACAGTTAAAGATCTGGCACTATTTGCATTTATAGTTGCATTCTTAAGTGACTTATGAATTAGGGATCTATAAAAATCTTTTCTTTCTTTCTTTGACAATAAAATATACTTATCAAAACTTGCTAGCTTATCTGTGCAAATATCACTAAAGCAAAAAAAAAAAGTATGAAAATAACCCCTAAAAAGACCTGCTTTTGATATGTTCAAAAGATCCTGTGTAGAGTCAGTCTCTGAAGAATTTGCATTATCTGGAGAGAGAAATCAAAATGTGGTATCCAAAAGAGATAAGGACAGCTGTGCCCTCCTAAGACACACTTTTGAATCTGTTGATGAAACTTTAAAAAAAATTTACTTTCTAATAGCGGATCACAGATAAGCCACTACTCATTAAGAAAATTTAGGGTCAATAGGCTATGTTTTGACATAAAACACTATTGGACCATTTCAAAGAATTCTTTAAAAGTGTATTTATGTAATTTGGCTATATTATCATTGACTCTATTGTCACTAATAATTATATATGGTCTTAGGGGAAAAGGGGCCACTGAAGTCACTGGGTACAATATTATTTTACACTATCTCAGGAAGGAATTATTAGATTAAAGAATTAATATAAGCTGAAGAATTATTAGATTAAAATCTCTGTAAATTTTTTTCTAAAATTTTTGCTTATTAAAAAAAAAAGTCATAAGGGTTGCATTTACCTCCTAATCAAGTATTCTAGAATAGGAAGTCATTCAGGATGAGACTGTGGAAAGAATCAGATTAAAAGCAGGGCAGTGAGGTCACCAATTGCTGTTCTCCCCAACACTTGTTTAAATAACTAAAGGTATCAGCAACTGGTAACTATTCCACATCCGAAGCATCATTGTCAGAAAGATGATAGTTACTTCCCTTTACTCGAATGTATTCAATATATCTTCCTTCATCAGAATCTGAAGCGCCACATGTACATAGCCTGTTGTCAAAAAGTGATTCAATTTCCTCTAATTTTTTCCCTTTGGTTTCAGGAAGACAGCCATAGATGAAAAGAAGTCCCACAGCTGCAAATCCAGCATAGAGGAAGAAAGCTCCTGCAATGGTAAATAATATGTATGAATATATATATATGTAGGCTTAAGTCAGAAGAGTACTCAATTTTGACATTTCTCCCCCTAGTCAATCATGTATAAGCACGGTAGGAAATGGGACTAAAAACCTGCTAACCTGGTTTACTCAAATTGTTCTGACTCTATGAATATAATGCAACATTTAATGCCAAACTCAAGAATAATAAGAATAGACCAGGCTCAGCTGTAATTTCTGCTTTGAAGCCTTTCCTCCTGTTCGTTACTAGAGGGAATTACTCCTTCCCATATGCTTCCATAGCACTATGCTGACAAGTATTATATGATAAAAAACCAAGAAGTATTATAATTATGTGCATATGTATATCTAAATCTTGTCTACAAGACTAGAGGCACTTTGAGATGGGGGAAATTTCTTTCTTATGTTGATTTCCAGAACCAAACACAATAATGACATTGCTAAATTATGCCTCAGTGGAGCACACAGGCAACTCCATCCTTCTGGTTTCTCGTGCCACAAGTCTGGGAGTCATTCTTGACATTTCTTTTATTCTCCTACCCAATATTCAATCTGTTAGGAAATCCTGTTGGCTCTATCTTTAAAATATAACCCAAAGATGACAATTTCTTAGTAAATTCATAGATATCTGTGGCTATTCTCCCTCACTACACTATTGCAATTATCTTCTAACGGGTCACCTTGTTTCTTCTCTTAGACCTTTATATTCCATTTTTTTCTCCATCATCTGACATACTGTAATGTAAGCTCTATGAGTTCAGAGAATTCTGTTTTGCTGTAAGATTATGCATGTCAGTGCAGTACAGCCATAAAGACATAACTACTACCTGTTTGTGTTTTCTCAATTTCAGTAAAGCAAGCCTGATGGATGAGATACCTGAATGCATGGCTTCTTTGTATTCTCTCCATATTTCCAAGATGGCATTTCCTTTATAATTGAATTCTTCATTTAAGTTTAAGAACCTATATTTTAACTTTGGTGGGGAACAACCAACTATAATAAAGTCCTTGCCTAATTCTAGGCCTTCAGACCAGATTATCTGTATATAGGATGGGGAAAGCAAAATGAAAGACTAATGTGACAAATAGCTGAAGAAAGGGTGTCACAATTAGAACTGGGAAGACCTGGATGTAAAACTGGTCTCAGTGTCTTCTAGATAGTCATTTAACCTCTGTGCCTTAGTTTCCTCATTAAATAAAGTAAGATGGTTTCACAGTTACTATTTAAGCGCTGGCAGTTTATGAGTCTATAAATAATATAGTCCAAATCACAAACAGGTATAGGTAAAATGGTTACGAGATACTAAAGAGAGAGACTTGCTCTTTTGTAAGTAGCAATGTGGTCTACTCGAGGGCAGAGTCTGTTGTTTGCTCATCTTTGGAGTCCCAGTGAATAGGGCAGTGCCTGAACACATTTGAGGGTCTAGAGAATTAATGTGCCCTTTTAGCTGCCAGATGGAACATACTGGATAGCAGACCCGAAAAAAGTGTTGAATTGTACAATTATACAACATAGCTTTAAACTGAATAATCATAGAAGTTAAACAACTGAGTAAAACATTTTGATATGGTAACATAATAGCACAGTAAGGGAAAGACATATTAAACTACTTTCTTAATAAATAGCTATGTTGAAAATTTCCTCAGAAATATGTCTTGGCAACTCTTGAGGAACTGTGGAGGAGTGCTGCTTAAAGAATCTGCTAAATAGAATGAGGGGCTATAAGAAGACAGAAGGGGAAACAGATAAATTGTGAGATATTAGAAAAAACATGAAAGGGTTAACTAAATCAACATATCATTTGTTAAGTACTCAGAGCCATTAACTTTTTCAGGAGCTAGACTTGTAAAATACATTTTTTTCTTTAGTAAAATTCAACTGTTTACAAATCATCAGTTCATTTTAGTATGGTTCTTTTTAAACACTAATTATAAGCTTACATTTATTTTTTTATAGCTTATACCCAAATCAGAAAATATTATGAGGTCATCCAGGATGTGAGGCACAGTGAGAAAAGTCAAGCTCCATGGCTCTGTGGAGAATGTGACCCTGAAAGTCCCATTTATGGTTCAGGACCCATACATCCTGAACCCTTGGCAGAGATTTTAAAAATTCTTTTGAACTTAGTTTCCTGATCTGTGTAAAGGGGAAATAATTCCTGCTTTTCCAAACTGTACAGAATAGAAATAATGTATGTTACATGTCCATTAGAATTTTGGATGCTCAAAAATGTGATAGTCAACATTATTCAATTCTACCAAATGATTAATTAGGAATGTTCTCATAAAAATGGTGACATTGACAAGTTAGCTCTTAGAGAATGTGGCAGTTTGACTTCCTCTTCCTACCCTAAAAGGAAGCAGAGTCCTGTGTTTTGAGGGCAGATAAGCAAAAATATGGAGGGGAACAGAAATCCAATCTTTAGTGAGGAGGGACAAAAAAAAAAAGGATGGTAATCATGAAAAGTAAAGTGCAGATGGTGAAACATTTTAAATTATATCAAAGCAAATCCAGTTTGGCTTTATACAATATATTTTTTTTTTTCATGATCTTTCACAATTTTGGAACAGTGGCCTAATTAGAAGTAACAAAATCTGTCATTCTAAACTCCTATAGTTAAAAACAGTTAAATGCATTAGTAAGATTCTTAAAGATGATACAGATTCTTGTTTGCAATCTAGATTTCCAAAGCCAAAGAAAGTAAAGGACATTCTTTTAAAATACAGGACTGAAAGAAATATAAAGAATCCAAAGCAGGCAAATGTGCACACTGCCTAGACCCTACTGAGACTGGTCAAACTACAGAGGAGAGTAAGCAGGCCTACTTCTTGTCATGGTCAAATCAATAATGTAACTCACTTTCTCACGTTATTCCTCCTTGGAAAAAAAAAAAAGTAACAAGTCTATCACAGGACTATAAAACAGTGTAGATAATTCCTCAGCATTATTCTAAAGGAAATAAATCTTATTGGAGTTCTATATTAAATTTCAGATTAAAACAAATATTTAATATATTTATGCAGATGAATGGATAAAAATGTGGTATACATACATAATGGAGTATTACTCAGTCATAAGGAAGAATAACTATGACAATTGCTGGTAAATGGGTAGATCTGGACACTATCATTCAAAGTTAAATAAGCCAATCTCCCAAATCCAAAGGTCAAAGGTTTTCTCTGATATGTGGAAACTGACCCACACAATAAGGGATTGGGGGGAAAAATAGTTCAGTGGATAGATAAAGGGGAATAAAGAGAAGGGAGGGGGTATGCGTAAAGGAAAGACAGTGGAATGAATCTGATATCACTTTCCTATGTACATACATAAATATATCACTGAATCTCACCATTGTGTTTTTAAATTTTTTTTAGTACTGGGGATTGAACCCAGGGGTGCTTAACCACTGAACTGCATCCTCAGCCCTTTTTATATTTTATTTAGAGACAGGGTCTTGCTGAGTTGCTTAGGGCCTCTTTAAGTTGCTGAGGCTGGCTTTGATCTTGTGATTCTCTTGCCTCAGCCTCCTGAGCTGCTGGTATTACAGGTTTGTACCACCATGCCTGGCCTTGTACATCCACAAGAAATTTAAAAAAATAAATAACTGGGTAAAAACAAATATTTATACAAATTGAATCAAGGATCATGTTTCATTGAATTTTAGTATTTCAAGAATGGTGTTATAATGCTCTCCAAGGGAATCCATTTAGCCATACATGATATGTATAAAATGGTATACTGGTGACATTTTAATGATGATTTTTAGTAATGAGCATTATTAAATGACTTATAAGGCAAGCCTTATGAATTAACAATAATAATAATAAACAAGAAAGAAAGAAGCCATGTATATTCCCAGAGTAATATAGCATTAGGATGTGTTATAGTTTGGATCTGGAATGTCCCCCAAAGTCTCATGTGTTGAAGACTTGGTCCCTACCTAATGCAGCAATGTTCAGAGGTTGAGATTTTAGGAAATGACTGGATCAGAAGGGCTTTAACCTCATCAGTGGATTAATCCATTTGATAGATTAATAATTTGAATGGACTATGGGGAGATGGTAGAAACTGTAGGCAGGTGGAACATGGTTGGAGAAAATAGGTTGCAGGGGTTGTGCCCTGGAAGGTTGTTGTCCCTGGCCCCTTCCCCTTTCTTTCTTTCTCTGCTTCTCAGCTACCAATGAGGTGAGCAGCTGTCCTCTGCTAATCCTTCTATCATTATGTTCTGCCTAATCTCAGGCCCAAAACAATTGAGCAGGCTAACCATGGACTGAAACTTCTATAAATCTTTCCTCCTTAAGTTGTTTTTCTCAGGTATTTGTTACAGGGATAAAAAGTTGATTAACACAGATATATACATATTAAATCAGGGTTATTAAATACATGTCGTACATAAATCAATAACATTAGATTAAAATATCACACAAAAAGGAGAAAAATGATCCCGAACTGAAATATTTTCTCTCTTGGAGAGTCGCAGATCAGGTAGACAAATGTGCTGACATAAGAGAAGCAAAAGCTTCCAACTGGCTATTTTTGAAAAAGGTCTGCTTATGACCCATTTAAATTTCATTTTTGTTTCATGTTTTCTCAGAAGTATAGATTCAGGAATAGCTTTGCTCTCCAAAGTATTACCATGTAAACCTTTTTTTTTTTTTTCTAATTTGGACGATGAGTTTCTATACAAAATGCTTTCTCAGGGTGTTAGTGTATATTTAGGTGTTCAAATATTTAAACATTCTCAAGAAACAACAAATAGAAGTAAATATTTGTTCATATTTATCATGTCATGAAGATAAGTTCATGATGAGTTTATGTAAAAATCTTTAATTGCCAAATGGAACAAAGCTGAATATTCTAAATATATATCCAGTTTAAAATGCCAGTGCATTTCCTTTCCAAGAAAATAATTATTTCTAAGTGTTCTAAGTAGTGATTAGAAGAGTTTTAAAAATATAAAATCATTGGATAAATAGTACAAATTAAAAGCAGATACCAATTTAATATGTTTAGAAGAGAAGGGAAATAGATTTTTATGTTTCCTTGTAATCATTTATCTACAAAATTCATTCATGTATTTATTCACTGGGCAAACACTTTTGAGTGCTTATCTGGTGAATAAAATGCAATAAAAGGACTCAGGAATATAGTTTCTCTCTAGGGATTTATGGTCTAGTGGTAGAGTGTTGGGAAGAAGGCCAGTAAGCCTGTTCTGTAACATGGAATTATAAAAGTTCCTGGAGCATGACTGAGGTGAGATGGGGAAGGGAATCAGAACAGGTTTTCTGGAAGAGTGGATTTCCACAAACTCTACCAAGGCTATGGGGAGATGATAATGAATACCTTGCATTTCACTGTTTAGATCCTATCAGAACCTATGAAGTTGGACGAACAAGGCAGAACTCTCTTTTTAAATTTTTTTTGTAGATGGACACCATGCCTTTATTTAATTTATTTTTTTATGCAGTGCTAAGGATCGAACCCCAGTGCCTCACAGTGCTAGGCAAGCGCTCTGAGCTACAGCCCCAGCCCACAGAGTTCTCTTTAAAAAAAAAAAAAGAAAGAAAGAAAAAAATAATGTCTTTTCACTTAAGTACAAAGGATTTGAAACAGCTTCCCAAAGTATTTTTGTAACCCAGCTATTTCCCAGTATTGTTGTTTTTGAAATATGGTCTCCACGTTTTTCACTTGAACACTCTTGTCACAGTTGTGGAAGTACTGGCCTTAAAGAAACTGAAAGGTACAGGGCGTGGCCTGAACAGCACAGGTGGGAGGCATGAGCACAACACATCATATCTTTCAGTATTTGTGTAATTTACTTTCTGCCCTCCACTGACTGTGCTCCTAGACTTGAGTGCTTCCCTGTTACCGGGTATCTTGTTGGCCCTGCCTTCATCTTTCTATTGTCTGTTAAACTGAAAGCTACACTGTGAAGATGTCCAACTGGGGGGGTAGAGGGGAGATATTTGGGGTTACAAGAGTGGATGAGAAATAGCCATAAGCCTCAAGATCAAACCAGGCTCTTACCATAGTATGTAAGATATTCTGCTGTGTGTAAAAATGTCAGTGAAACCAGAACATTGAAAATCCAGTTTATTCCAGATGAACATGCATTTCCTGTACTTCTTGCCCAAAGGGGATATATTTCAGAATTCACAGTCCAAGGCATTGGTCCCATTCCTAAAAAAATAAAAAAAAAAAATTAAAGCTTCTGTAAAATAGCATGTAAAAATTTTGCAAAATAATAACTTTTATTTTAAAAGGAGATAATTTAAGACAATAACAACAACAAAGCCTTTGCTTACCAGGTGCAAAGAAAACAAGATATAAAATAAGGCCCAGAAGTGCAGTCCAAGAGTATGGAGTAGGGCAGAAATTGTAAGCCCAAAATACTTCTTCTGTTTTGAACTTGGTTTCATTTTCACACCTAAAAAATAAGGCAATATAATAAGTGTTTTAGGACATAGTTGGATGTGTTTGGAAATCCCTTAATGCCTTAAGATAAAGGGTACAAATGGTTTTCTTGAAAAAAAATTATTAAATATGTATGTAAGCTCATATAGAACATTTTAAAGCTAATATAATTCTAGGGCAACCCATAGAAATGAACTATTTTTTACCCATCTCTGTATAAATTAGACCTTTTTTCTAGAAGAATACTATGAGTCAGTGTTCCAAATTTCAGAACCAAAGGTTTTTCATCTGTGAAATGGGGATGAGAACTCATAGGCTCTAAAGAGGTGATAGGGTGGATAAAGGAAGCAAACAGAACAGTAACAATGATTAGATCTGATTCCAAATAATCATCTGTCTCCTGCTCAATGTCACTGCTTTTCCATCAGTTATTCCTGATGATCTTACCTTCTTGTTCTATAGTGAAGCAAAATGTCCTTGGTTTATATTAATTCTGAAATTGAACTAAAATCTTTTTACCTTAATTGCCCCTAAAGATACAATTAGTCCTGGCTGGGCTCATGCCTATAATCTCAGTGGCTCAGAAGGCTAAGGCAGGAGGATTTCGAGTTCAAAGCCATCCTCAGCAACTTGTTGAGGCCCTATGCAACTCAACAAATTAAAAAAAAATGGGGGTGTTGGGATGTGGCTCAGTGGTTATGTGTCCCTGGGTTCAATCCCTGGTATCCCCCAGCCAAAACAACAACAACAACAACAAAAAAAAAAAAACCCCAAAAACGACTAGTCTCAAAAACACTGTCTTTGTCAACTTCTGAACCTTGACATTCAAGCCTACTTTTATTATAGTGTGTATGAACTACTTATAACATCCCACCTGTCCTGATGATTTAGATGCTTTGTCAGTCCTTTCTCTACCTCCTTTCATACTGTACCACATTCATTTTTACTTCTTAACCATCTAATTCATTGGGCTAATACTTCATTATTTATTCTAAAAGCAGAGAGAGAGGGAAAGAAAGAGAGCGCGCGTGTGCGCACATTTTATAGTTTGATGGAAGTAATATTTTATTCTAAGACATCAAACTTTGGAACATTCACTTTCTGATCACACTTTATTTCCTTACTTTTGATAATATGAACTGCAGCCAAAACTTTTGTTTCTGAACTTCCAGTATGCATTTGCTTCATTACTCAGCTCAGACCATGCCAATACTCTACTCTCTTCACTGGCCTGTAGAAGCCATCCTTCCTCTATACTTGTTTGCCATCTTACCATCTCAGTTTCCAACTCAGTGTGATATTACTAACTTCCTTCAACAACCACTTATTATAAGTTGGCCAAAGTTATAAAACTATGCTTGTGGGCTCCATTAATCTTTCATGATGATTCATCTTAGTGGGGTCCCTAATGATGCTTATTTAATCCTTTATTGTCTTCTCTACTGAATTACCTACCTATTTCAAAGTAGTCAATAAACTTTTGTCAACTGTTGTTTCTATTCAATAAAAGATTTCTTACTATCTTCCGGTCCTGAAATCTTTCCCTGTGGTTTCTAAGGAGATGGATTTGTCTCCTTGTTAAAGAAGAATTGAGGGGGGTCAGGGACAGGGCTCAGTGGTGGAGTGTTTGCTTAGCATGCGTAAGGAACCAAGTACTATACAAAGAAAAAAGGAGAACTGAGGACCTTCAGTTTGAACATAAAATTTTCTTTACTCAACCTCTACTTTTCTTTTTTGAAAATAAAAAAATCTTTCCCAGAAACAAAAAATAGAGGCGAGCTCCTCTCCATCCAGAGGTATGTTATTCATCTTTTCTAAGAACTGCCCTTTGTGTCAATCATTTTGCATCTTATTCTTCTCCTGCATCCACTGGGGTTATTTTCCATAAAGTCTATTCCTGTCATCTTTAGTTTCTTCCTACTTGAGCCTTCCCTTCTGTCTATTACACAGATCTCTCCTATTCAAGTGTTTAACCTTCTCATATTACTACTACTAGCTCTTCCAAAATCACAGAGGCACTTCTACTCATGAACTCTACATTCTCACTTTCCTTCCCATACCCTTTCCCATATCCTGTGTCACCTGCCAGCTGACTTAGTTGGGGTCTATTTTCCTGAATCTGCTCACCAAAATGCCATCTATGATCTCTTATATTTACTCTGTGGTGGTTGATATTTCTGATATCCTTCCTTCCTTCTCTTCCCTCTTTGCTTTTTAAAGTGTTCTCTGAAGTTTTACGCTTATGCCTTCTGTTGTCATCATACCATCTAATTGTAGACTATAGTCTCCACGTGGATACCCCTTTTTAGTTTATCCTTGACTTTTTTTTTCAAGCTCTATTGATGGGGTTTAGGTATCTGTTGAACATTCACATCTAGATATCCTGCTATACCCTTAAACATAATGTGGCTACAATGAAATGTATTCTAAGAGGAAAGGTGGGGCTTCTATAACTGCAAATCATGACTTAACCACTTACTTTGTTGTGTTCATGCAAAAATTTATATGATGGGTGCTTTTTAATGTGTCAGTAATTAGAACACAATTATTGTATTTATGGAACCTTGAGTTAGATGGACACAAGCATGGACCTGTTTCCTCAATCTGTAAAATAGGTGAAAGGACTATTACCAGGCTGTTAGAACATTAAATGTTCCTATATGTGTGAGCATTGTGCATCTGCATGCTTAGCATCCTGCCTGGCATATGGTATAAGCACAATCAATTATTACTTTACTAGTGCCCCTCGAGCCATTTCTGTTTTACTTAACATAACCATTCTCTGAATTGCATGTTTTAAAATCTTGGCATCATCTTCTGCCTTTTCTTATCCATTTTAGATCCCCTTGCTTTTAAGTATAACTAAAGCACAGTGGCTGAGAGTTTGTACTCTGACACTAAATTCTGAAGGTTAAATCCCAGGTTGGGACATCAAGATGTGAAGCTAGAATGTATGTGACTAAAGTGCTTTTCAAAGCTATGCCCTTATCTGTGAAATAAGGATTTTCCTAACACACAGAAAGATATTTTTGAGTCTTACATGACATTAATGAATACAATTTCACACAGTACAGGCCAGAAATCATAATCATATTTCTGATGGGCTGTGGATGTAGCTTAGTAGTAGAGCATTCACTTTAACATACAAGGTCCTAGGTTTAATCTTCAACACAAATAAAAAGTATTTCCTAGATACTTTCTTGAATCTGATTCTTCCATTTGCACTAATAAGCACCTCAATTCAGAATCTGAGTGCTTGTGTCATAAACCACTTCTTCTCAGCACAGTCTAGAGCAGACCTCTGATCTGCATTTCCTGATATTCATGTCCTGTGCATTCTTCTGCCCTTGAATGTGGGAAGAACCTGTGACTTGCGTCTAACTCAACAGAAGCTGGCAAAGGTGACAAGACATATGTGGTCAAGTATGTAAGATAGTAGTGCTGTTAAGCTGAACTCTTTCATTCCCTTGCGGCTTTAAAGAAGCAAGATTCTATGTTGTAGGAGGCAGAAGGCTTATTTTGGAAGGCCCCCGGAGGGAAATAAGGGCAGCTTTGACACAAAGCCACAAGTTACTAAATTCTGCTAACAAAAGTGAATAATCCCCTATTGAGCCTTGTTCTGAGTGTTGTACGATCCTAAACAGAGGACCCAGCTAAGCTGTGCCTGGATTCCTGACCCACAGAAACTATGACATAATAAATGTGTGCTATAATAGAAAATAAATATACTCTAATTATTTTTTATGCTTCTAGCATATCTTTCTTCAAATTTCTGCCCTACCCCTACCACACTATAGCTGTTCTAGCCAGTTTGTTGCTCGAAAACCATTTTTTCCCTAATTCCAACAGGGCCTGCAAAATTTGGCCATAGCTGCTTTTTGTTGTACTCTATACATAATCATATTCTCCACCTAGACTAGACTTTATTTTATGAATATACCTTCCAGAGCCAGCATCTTCTACTCATGCCATTTCCTGTAACTAAAAGCAGACTCTTAATTCTCATGCCTCCAGGGTTAGTAATTCTCTTGGGCCTCCAAGGTTAGTATAGAGCCTACCACACAGCTGTCTGAAAGCTGCTTCCCTCCATCACACTCAGTTTCATCGTCCTTGTTTATACCATTGCTCAATATTCTCCCATTTGATATAAAATCCTCCTCCTCCTATGCTGGACCCTCACCCCAGGCACTGCAGCATGACACAGGGGGCTGAGCACACAAGGTCAAACAAATGTCAGATATGAATTTGTTTTTCATTTCTACCACTGGCCAGCTGTGTAATTTTGGAAAAATCACTTAATTTCTCTGTGTTTCAATTTTTCTATTAAAAAAAAAGAGTCCCTGATAGAGATTAAATAAGGCGATAACTGCTTGGCACAAGAGCAACTTATAAGTGTCTGCCAAAAGAATAGACATTTTTGTATTTTTAAAATATATTATTTTCTAGTCCAGAGATTATGCTCTATAATAAATCTCCTGAGAAATAATCCTTGCATGTTAAACGAAGCCTTAACATTGACATTTGTTTGAAAGTATGAAACAACAGTAGCAATCTCCTGATATATAATCCCATGATTGATAATTTTCCAACTTAATTTCCCCACCACTGAAGTAGTCTTTTGAATTATTAAAATCATAAGAAGGAAGAAAAAACAGGAAAAGAAAAGTAGGCAGGTATGTAGGGGAGGAATGTTCATAGCGATAACTAAAATGCACTGAAAACCTCTCTTTACTATTTTTGTTACTATCATATTTTCTTGCATGTGGTATTGCTGTGAGAATGGTAAGTAGCATATTCTAAGGTGAACTCCACTTACCCACACAGCTTTCCTTGTCTGGCTGTGCATGTTTCTGTGTGTAAAAATGGCCAAATAAACCCACTGTCATCTTTGTGCTGATTTTAGAAAGCAGTGCAGGCACTGACTTCTCAGTTGCGCACTCAGCAATACATACATGTAGCAAATGACTAAGGTGATATCATTCTTGACCTTCAAAATATAAACACTACAAATCC